CCCCAAAACCCCAAAACCCCAAAACCCCATCAAGTGTCTACAATATTGAATAAATATGTATTTTATCACAAGATTTGAGTATGTCATGGCCTTGCTTTACTTAGGAATGCAGGCAAAGACTCTCAACTTAATCTCAATTCTTCTGGGCCAAGTCAACCTTGAAGCAAATATTTTACGATCAGTTCCCTGATACTCAATCTGCATCTTATTGGTGCTTATAACACTTAAGATGTTAAAAATATCTTTAATGAAGTTCAGATCCCATTTTGCATTGTTTTCATTATTAAGGATGCTTAACATGCTGTTTTGTTGCTTTATTAGCATCATTATTCCAAATTTTGAAGATTCGCTTGCTGAATTTGTTCTGACAGATGGAGTAGGGTACTTGCTCATGTTTGTAATGATCAACAACGGAATGTATTTCATCATTGATCCGGATGGCCCTTATGGCATTGGAGTAAAGGATATCATTTTAAAGGGAAAAAGGAAGACTCCACGTATTTTGGTGTACTATCCAATTGACAAGAATGAATACGATCAGAAGGTGAACGATCCAAACGAAACACTTGGATTATTAGTCGAAGGAGAGGGTGGAGTCGAAGGCCAATGTAGAGCAGGAGCTATCATACATGGATCCTCAGATGCCCATCCTTTGATTATCTCTTTATGACCAAAGAATCCTGCTATGTTCAAGCCTATTGTCGAAGATTTCAAATATTCTAGAATTAGAGCTCTAGTTTCTTCAGAATTGCATAAAGATTTTAAGAACGGAGGTAAAAAGCTTACACCAGTTATTTTTTCTCCAGGATGGGGAAGCAGTAAAAACATGTATGCAACTAATACAAGGTATCTTGCTAGTTATGGTTGAATTGTCTTTGCTATTAGCCATACTGAAGGAAGCAATGAGTTTACTTGTGATTATAACCAAGACCCTCCAAAGAAGCTGACTTATAACCATCTAGATGCTAAGACTAACACTGATGATCACGGAAGGAAGTATAAAGACAGGGAGGAGTTCTTCTCTATTTCAGTGGATCAAAGAGTCAAAGATATTGAAACCCTTTATGAGTATATCCTCGAGTGTGATTTTGCACAATACTTGGATATCCAAAAATTAGTGATGTATGGCCATTCCTTAGGAGGTATTACAGCTATCGAATGTTCAAGAACTATGAAGGCTGATTCTGGAGAACCTAAATTTAAAGCATGTGTTGCCTTAGATCCTTATTACATGGGAAAGCTTTCAAAAATTATGCAGAATGATGATTATAAGGTCGAACAACCTCTATTTGTAGTAACCTCTCAAACTTTTAAAGACAGTCCAATTACACGAGATTATTACGATAATGAAGAAACAACTGCAAAGTTTCTTCAGAATTGCAGAGGAGGTAACAAAGCTAACCCAAATGTGCAAGATATTGCATGGAAGAACACTGGCCATATGAATCAGATGGATACCTGGGTTCACTCCCCAGTAATAGCCAGATTGCTAAACTTTATGGGTCCTATAAATGAAGCTGTAGAGCGAGCTCATGAACTATCTAAAATGGTGATAACATTCATGGATAAGCATGAAATGCTTCCTGTCAAATTACATCAAAAAGAGAAGATGAATAACTCATAAATTGGTGTTTTGCTAAAGAAACTATCTTCAATGTAATCAATACCTTACGGGGTTTTGGGGTTTTGGGGTTTTGGGG